AAATTAAAATATATTTTATAAATAGATAAATTAAAATATATTCATTCAGGTCTTTGGAGAAACAGTGACTGAGACTTACCATGGGCTTTGTAGGGTCAGGCTGACTGTTATCAAAGTTGACTAGCGGGACATTCTTTGTGAGTCGAACATCAATTTGGCGGAGAGCCTAAAAAGATATACACGGGTATGTTAAACAGCTTTTCTTAGGTGTGCTCGTTCCTTTCACACGTTTTTATGCGAATGTATACAACGTTTGCGCTACAGACTATCAGATTTCTGCCTCACCGAGGACTAACTACAAACGACAAACGACCATATCATACAACAGCCAACTACTACTATTCAGCAGTCTGATCCTAAAGTGGTAAATGATCATGCGGATACAGACACCTACCTTCGGTCTACCGTCGCCTTTGCCACGAACCAATATATGCTGATAGCCGCCTCGGAGGGTGTAAGACAGATCTCCTTGCCACAACTCACGCACAGTAAAGCAGTGCGTGTCTGCTGTGTCAACATCGTCTTCGATTGATACTTCTGTTATTAATAATAGATATGTGAATGCATTAGAGATACATCCTTGATAGCTCATGAAAGCCGAGCTTGAAAGCGATACACTTTAGAACGATATACCAGGCCAACTTCCATTTTTATATATCTATAAACCTCATGCAGGACATTCCCACGTTACAATGGCTAAAAGGAAGCAGCTAGGAAGCAGATACTTTGAAAATGAAATGTCCCTAATTAATATACATACAGCTTTGCAATTTCACATGTGCATATGTAAACGAATACAAATATTCATAACTGAATATCCACATGCAACAATGCATACGAACACCGCACATTACACAACAATTCAAAAGCACTCACACGGATATGTGTATGAATACAGAGTGAGTAAATTCTGCATCCAAACAGTCTACTATATATAAGAGAAAATCCTAGTTTATGTTATGATGAAAGATTTTTGATAAGCCAAATCCGGTATATATTTGCGTATTTCAATCACTCAACATTGGAAATGTGTGTTCGTATTTGTGTTCACATATACATACTCATTTCTATAAAGCCTTTCTTAAGCGTGGTGTACATGTATTCTGTGTCTTCAACTGAAGACAACCGAGTATATAATAAACAATGTCGTAACATTACTCATTTAGGAAATGAGTGAGATCATATAGAAACCAAATCGAACACTAGTCCATAGCACTCATAAACCACGTTAGAAAACGAACATACAAAATCGAATAGTATGGTACAAACGATTATCCTGGCACATTTACAAATGGGCTCGTACCTGTAAGTTGAACTTCCCACAACCCGAATCGGTACTTTTCACCCACATTGACGGGTGAATTGGGCTCGAAACAAGGCGTGGACGGGAACGCTTCCGGTGCAAAGAAGAACAAGGTCGAGTCACATAAGAACAGATTAAGTCCCTTCTTCAGTCCGAAAAAAAGGTCCTTAGTGCGACGTTTGCGCTTATTATTCGCTGGCTTGGCGACTGCTGCATCCTCCTGTACTTCTGGGATCGTACTAGCACTTAAGCTGTTATTCAAGCCTTGGTCGTCGTGTGCGGTAAGGACTGGAGCAGTGCTGCCGCAACTATTCGTTCTCCTGTAGTCAATACGCCAGTTACAGACCGCGGGCAAAGAAAATAGAAAAAACAACATTTAGATGTGAAATGTTGACGATCGGGTGTGTTTTTGCTATCAATGCATTATTCGAACAACTCGCACGCCAGAACAGAACTCAAAGGCACAACCAACTACGAAATCAGTAACGACAGACCTGTAAGTATTCGAGGCAGCGATTGCCATTGGCGTTTTGGTTGACGCATCTGAGGGGCACACTTTACCATCGATTAGAGCCAATGCCGCAGCACTACCAATATCCTTTGCAGTGTCCTCGAGGTTTTCGCTACTTACACTCACTCTGATCATGCCCTTCCTGCTGGACGCTAAGAGATCGTCGGCGGTGTGTGTACTTCCCATGACTCGCAACTGCGAGCGTTTCCTGTCATGGCAGTCCTGTAGTTGGCATTCGTGCGGGAATCGACTTCAATTACGTGAGATGCCAGACGGTGTACGCACGCTATATAAATTAAGGTAGGCTTCACAAATTGAGCCCGAGGACAATATTGAATCTCTTGCTCGCATACTGGAGATGACAAAGGCCATCGGTTGATGCGTGGATATAGGGTGTACTTGACACAGGCTATATATTTTCTCTCTCATTTCAATTGGGCATTGAACCCAAAGTGAGGTATTATGCTCACACAAAAGAGTACGAGTGATTGTCATATTGGGAATGCGGCATCGTAAACGCGAGTTGCAGTACCCTCATCATCGCTTGCCTATTGGGAACGACACCAGTGCTTGATTTACAGCAGATGTTGCTTGTACCCTGTGCAAACTAAGCCCATGCTCTCGATATACGCTGCAATACAGCATCCAAAAATGTACACAACATAGCACAATCACGCGTGACTAAAACAGCATCGTAAAATGTACACAACAAAGCACACTCACCGGCGATGGCAATGGCGATTGGAAACCGAACGGGGGCACCATGGGTGAATTTGGCCCTTCTTCTACGATGGCGCCCGGGGCCATAGGTGACGCAGAAGGCGACAACGTGTAGAGGTCAGGTTGTGTTGGTGCGGAGATGGTGCGTTCTCTGTTATGATTTCCGGCGTGGGGCATGTGCCTGGCTGTGATGGGCGAGCTACTGGCGCTGCCAGATTTGGGAGTGCGTGGTGACGGGTATCTATAACGTTTATAAAAGATTGGGCTGTGAGACAAAATTTATATATATACATATATGTAT